GATATGTTAGTCAGAAAGAAATTGTTTACTTTTAGCGCCACTCAAGAAATATGTTAATTAGCTATAAATTATGCAAAATCATTGATTATGGGCTCCAGAAAATCTTAACTCGCGCCAAATACAGATTGATACCCGCAGGTTTTTCTTCAGATCTTCTGAAAATAAGTATAAATCATTACAGCCAAGCACATTTCAGCGTAATTTTAGGTCCCCATTTGGAGATCTCAGGCTTCGATTTTAGTGTAATTTTCTAGACCGAACAAGAAGCAAAACCGGTGTGCCGTCAAGTCGCTGTCGTTTATTCACAATTTATTCAAATGCTCTTATTTTTTGGAACAGAGAACCTGAATTGTATCTTAACTTGTTGATCTAGTTGAAATTTGGAAATAGTCAGGCGTTTTGACACAGCGCGGCTCTACAATTTACCGAAATTCAACCTTCGATTTTGCTTGAAATTATCTCTGCACGGGTGAAATGAGTTTCGGCGTCTAGCGAAGCCATAAAAAAGAATTTTCAAAAAATAAATTTATTTTGGACACTTGTATACCAATGCCTTTCAACACACAAAAAATAAAGGAAATCTATTTTCCGAAGTCAAAGTCATCGGACCGCTCTTAGCGGGACTGCCACTTAATTGAACGCGACGGTTTTCCACCCTTATCGTTGATCACACAAATTCGTGCAGCCCTAACAACTCTATCGGTCGACTTGGAAAAAGTTCCTCTACTCTTGCTACTTTCCGAAAGGCGCGCGATGTCTTACCTGATTTCAAAATAACCAAATCTCCTACTTTGACAACGTTTGCATTAGCTCCCGAGGTTGTTCCACCTGTTTGAGTAGTGTCCGATGATACTTTTCTCTACGAGTGAGCGCTTGATTCGCACTGATGATCTCATACTGCTTATCGCTTGCGGCTGTGGCAATTGTACGACCGCAATTAGTGAAGAAGGCGTCAATGGATATGAAATACCCTCGTACATCGTACACGTGCGTCAATGGTCGGTTATTCAGAGTTTCTTCAATCACGATCAATGATGCTCGCATTTCCCCAATGGACAAAAATGCACGTCCGACTACTTTCTTCAAACAGTGCTTCACGCTTTTAACCAAAAACATTCCCCAAAAAACCCATGCCAGGGGGCCTTCTCGATAATAAACTCCCATATATATATAACTCCCTTATCTGTCAAGTATCGTTGCACTTCAGTGTAGACCCCGTAATCATTCAGTTGAATTTCTTTCGCAGCTCCCTTAAATGTTTTCGCATTATCAGACAAAATTCTCGAAGGTAGCCCTCTACGTGCAACAAAGCGTCGAAATGCTTGCTACAGATAAATTTGGCACCAGTTCCAATTGTAAAGCTCTGGTCGACGCGCAGGTCAGAAAACATATGTATGCCTTGTCCGTTTTTTCTTCCAACTAGCCTGGCCCCTTTGAGCTCACGTATAATGGTCCTGCAATATTTCTCTCATACACTGTTCAAAGTTTCTTTAATACCGTTGTGATGTGCAGACGCATGATGCTCGAGAATGACAAGGTCGGTGAAATGATGTTTGCTTGGAAGAATGGATTGTTTAGCAGTTTCCGACACTGATGACTGATCGATCCTGGTTCGGCAACCCATCAAATCCTCCTCGTCTCGAAACAGTCCTAATTGTTTTACTAGTTGCTGTTGTTTTCCATTTGATTCAAACAAATTATTCCTTTCGTCCGCAAAATGAGAGTACTGTATCGAGCGTAGCCATAAATTTTCCGCTTCTTTCACTTCGTTCGCGGTTAATTCAACCGATGTAAATCGCATGCGTCTGCTTTTGTCAATAAATCTCTTTATGTACGCTGTGACTCTTAACAACTCTCTCGTTCTGGTCTGGCTCGAGTGGCCAATATTCTTCGATTAGTTTTAGGAAACCCGCCTGAGCCATTCCACCACGTTTCGTTTTCTAGAAGCTCCGACGCATTTCGTACACATTTAACCATGGTTAATAGAATTCTATTAACCGTGATTTAACTAGTCTCCCAAGTCTAACTGCACCTAACAGTTCGAGCCTTGGTATCGATTGTTTCTTTACCTGTGCAACTCTCGTTTTCGAGGCTACGAGTCTGACGTACGTCAGTTCCTCCATATATATGCAAATTCGTAAATATACCACCACGGCGTATGCTTTACACGGGGAATCAGGAAAACCATGAAGCTCAAAAGTAAGTGGGTTATTAGAAATGGCGAAATAACATCTCGGTATTCTAAATGGTCTTAAACTCGACAAATCGTTTATTATCGCGTTCCATGCTTTCAACGCTTCCCCTGAGGTTGTCCAAACGACATTCTCGATGCACAGAATTTAAAATAACGTTTCATAACAATCCTAAATGCGGAGAGAAATCCCAAAGGGTGAAAAATGTTTGATGATAATTTTAAAACTGATCGCTTAGTTGCAGGTAAAGTTCTTGCATATTTACATAGCTTTGATAGATCGTACTCAAATTCATCAGAGTCAACATTGCAGGAAACTCAAGAATTTTAACAGAACCTTCTTCGGTTTCATTAATTGTTTTAGGATTTTGCTGTTCGAAATGAAAAGGGTCGTTAACATTTAAACTGTCCGAAACATTGGTTTTTGAATTTTCGTCGACTATTTCTCGCTTGCCGTCGTTAATTAAGCTCCGTTTGGCATTTCGGTTGTTCGCTTTCGCTCCCGAGGGTTTTATCACGCTCGTTTTCAAGGAATTTTATCTACAACGGTAGACTTCTCAGCTACTATCTCTTGCTCCAGCGCTATCCGCTCTTGAAATACTCTCGAATTGGACGTCCACTTATGCAATTTAAATTCGCCCTCTCCCATAATTTTGCTTGTCTTTTCGTAAATCTCGACAGCTCCCGAATCATCCCAGGCACCACTACGAGTCCTCCAACAACGAAGCAATCTCTACGTGTTCCTCCTTTGGACTTTCCAAGTGATGTTCTATAAGAGATGACAATATTGCTGGGCTTGGTGTTAGCCCAAGCACGAGACGGCAAAACCGGTGATTTCCTTTGTAATGTCATCAAACCACAAAAAGCGAAGCATTCGTCGGTCGTTAGGATCTATCTCGATCGGATGGAACGCTTTCTCCACGTCGTAAACTTAACTAGCACACCAGAGAGATGGGGTACTAAATTAGGTCTCTTTTCAAGACACTCGTTAATTGATAAGGATGCTTTTCCATTCTTTACAGAGCCGTCAAAGACAACACGTAATTTCGTTGTAAGCTTTTGGCGTCGTATCACTTCGTAATGTGGTAGATAATGCTTCCCTCTAATTCTTTCGGACTGGAAACCTGTTCGATTATTCCTATCTCTAGTTGTTGCCGATTAACATGATCATACTCTTTCAGTAAATCCGGCTCAGCTTTTAAACGTGAATGAACATGTTCCAGTGCCGTAGCCAGAACGATAATTGGCGGGGGGGGGGGGCAAATATTCATATATTCGTGTTCTGCTTTATTAATTTCTTTTGAAATCAATTGTTTTTATGGTATGTGAACACGAATATATGAATATTCCCCCCTCCCCAATTATCGTTCTGACTACGGCACTGACATATTCTAATCGTTTCACACACTGCGAGTAACCATTCGATTCTGGCAAACACCCTTTCCTCCAAGGAAAGCTAACTTGATACCGTAATCGTTCTTCGTCATACTTCACATCTTTCAAAAACTCGTTCTCAGCTATGTCAGTTTTCTCCAAAATTCCGATGGATTCAGTGTTTCAGAATTTGCCAAGCACTTCAGTTAAGTCATATTACTCGTTCTTTACAAAGCAGGTATTGTACGATAACATATCTGTACGCTCTACGACAAAATTTGTAACTGTTTCGTCTCGTCCCGGATTCTTGCATGGTTCTGGCACTTCCGCATATTAACCAACCAAATTCACTGTTTACTGCACAAGGGCCTTCGTCACCCCGCCGTATTTCTCTAGTGATAACATCATAGTAGTAGTCAGATCCAATGAGAATATCTATATCTGATGAAACACAGTTCTCGAGCAGATTGTCACTGCCAGTTCTAAACCTTCTAAATGGGGATGTCGATCAATATCTAAAGTCGTGGAAAGTGGAGCACAAATCCTTGGAAATGAAAGAAAAGATATGTTATTTCAATGTTCTTTGTTCCTCTCAGCTGCAGTCGAATTTGGTCACACCTACGCTTTTCCACTTGATCATTACCGAAAGTGTTCAAGTTCAACACCTCGGATTTCTCAGGAACAAGTCCTAGTTTGTTCTTTTTCGAGACGGTTATGTATGTACGTTGACTTCCACTATCCATTAGAATTCTTACTGGAGCTTGCATTTTTTGTGCCCAAGTTTCTGTTGTGGCCGTTTGTAGAAAAATCTTACGTTTATTTGGTTTTGAAGTTCCAGTCGCTACCACGGTCTGGTTGGCTGTGATGACATGATCCTCGCTCGATGTAGTTGCTGAGAGAGACGGCGTATTTCCCGATTGATTTCTATTCCAGTCCGCTACTGGTGAATTTGATTTGGAACCCCAGTTTTGGTCAAATTTGAATTCCTGTCACACATTGATTGATGGTGTTTTCCGTTACATCTTCGACATTCCCGTGAACATTGATTACCACGATGTCCGAATTGAAAAAAAAAAGAAACGTCTTCCGTCCTTTCCAAAATTTCCTTTCTGTCAGTTAACTTTACTACAATCTCACAAGAGGCAGAATAATGGTGCTTTCCACAAAAGGAACTTCCTTTCGAATAATCTCCAACAAATCCTTCATGACCCACACATTTTTCTCTGTTTTTCTCGCTATTTAGAAACGGATATCACTGGGCAGCTTCGACATTATCACAGGAATTAGTAGACTTCCATATTGTTCACTATGAACCCCTAATGACTCCAACGCTCTTACATAATCACTATACAGGGTGTATATAAAAAAATTGAACAGATTTAAAATTGCTCTCAATTTCGCAAAACACCTATTTGTATCCGGTTTTTTATATATATAGTTTCTTTGGGTACTTATAATGTAAAATAATGAAAAAAATTTCTCGAACTCAAATTTTGTGAACCAGGGGGGGGGGTGTCTTTTCCAACAAACTAAAAATGGCTCGCGCACAAAATTTAAAAGCTGTAATCATATTTTGAGTTAATAGATAGAAAATCTGTCGGGTTTTTAATTACTGTACAAAATTTCAGACAATTTGGTTTAGTTTAAGCCCTTTAACTATTCATTTTGTTCTAAAAAAAGTCAGCCTTTCGCATGCTTAATTAATGACTTTACCTAATTTGCATATTGCTGACATATGCAAATTAGGTAAATGCATTAATTAAGCATGCAAATAGCTGATTTTTAGGAAAAATGTAACTTTGCGTGAATAGTTAAGGGAGCTTAAACTAAACCAAATTGTCTGAAATTTTGTACAGTAATTAAAAACCAGACAAATTTTCCATCTGTTAACTCAAAGTATGATTTCAGCTTTTAAATTGTGTGCGCAAGCCATTTTCAGTTTGTTGGAAAAGACACACCCCCTAGTTCACAAAATTTGAGTTCGAGAAATTTTTCTCATTATTCTACATTATAAGTACGCAAAGAGGCTATATATATAGAAAACCGGATACAAATAGCTGTTTTGCGAAATTGAGAGCAATTTTAAATCTGTTCAGGTTTTTTTATACACCCTGTATAACGTTATCATAAATGTAAGGTAATTGACTTGACTTTTCCCCACTACTTGGTTGTATTTTAAGTAATTCGCCCATGAGGGCTGAGATTATTTGTTGTGAATTACCATATCGTTCCCGCAAAATATCTTCGCGGCGTTATAATTCAGTGGCGTGCTGGGTACTATTTTTCTGGGGGGGCCAGTCGGCTGGCAACCAATATGCGCCCCTATAATATTACGCTTCATAAACGAGGGCCGAAGGCACGAGCCGAGAGCTGCAGGTGCGAGGTTTGTCTAGGGGAGTCCGGGAGCATGCCCTCCCCCAGGAAAATTTTTGAATTTAGAGTCTCTGAAATGCCATTTCCTGGACTTTGGGGGAAGATTTGACAGAAATCTGATGGTCAGGAAACGGCATTACAACGTGTCGAGATTTGCAAATTGGTTAGAATTTAGCCGGTAGTAGTACTTAAATTGGGCAATGCTAACTACTTCCAGCAATTAATCTAATCCCAATTCTATTCTCTACTGATCTGAATACATTGACAACTTGCAGCTCTTTTATACAATAACACACAGACCCCACGCATATGCATTTTAAGGTTTT